ACTTATAAAATGAAGTAAATATAAACAAATGAATACAGAATATAAAATGAAGCCACAGATGGCAGATCCCAAATGTGTGACCAGAGTCCTATTTAATGACAAGTATTAGGAAGGTGTGTTACTTGGTGTGTATGAGAAACTTGGGGCTGAGTGAGGTGGTTCACGCCTGTAATCCCAGCACATTGGGATGCCAAGGCGGGTGGATTGCCTGAGGTCAGGAGTTCGAGACCAGGCTGGCCAACATGGTGAAAACCCAATCTCTTATAAAAAAAAAAAATACAAAAAATTAACTGGGCATGGTGGCGGATGCATGTAATCCCAGCTACTCGGCAGGCTGAGGCAGGAGAATCGCTTGAACCTGGAGGTGGAGGTTGCAGTGAGCCGAGATGGCTCCATTGCACTCCATCCTGAGTAACGAGGAAAACTCCAAAAAAAGCAAGAAAGAAAAGAGAGAAAAAAGAAAAAAAGAAAGAAAAGCAAGCAAGCAAGCGAGAAAGAGAGAGAAACATGGAAGTGAGTATTGATGCAGCATGGGTTTCCATGGATTCTGTATATTCCAGCATTAGGCAAATGGCAACACCTGTTCATGTGGCAGGGTTGCCTCTCTATAACTTTCCACAATAGGCTTTTTTGTGTGAATTTTTTCCTAACATTCTATCATACTTCTGATGTATCTTCCAAAATTAACTCCAGTTATAATTTAGGAATGTAACAAGAGAATCAGTTTGGGGACACATGACAATAGCTGCACTAGACATTTCATTGTGCGTGCACCATACATACACAAAAACATAATTCCTCTTTGGATTATAATTCACTAAGTAAACTTTGGAGGCATCATATGGTAGCTTTATACACTTCACTCTCTGAAAAAGCGTAACAGTTGTAGTAATTAATGTAAAGACTAAGGAGTAAATTAGAAAGAATCCAATGGATTCTTGTGTTTACCTTGAACTTAAGTTACAGGTTAAATGTTTCCCCAGCCAGCAAACTGGAGATTGTGATGAGAAGGGGTGGGAAGAAAAGCTAGATGACATGAGATTCTTTCTAGCTCATGGAAGATAAGATATAAATTCCTAGATTTCCCACTCTTAACTCCATAAAAATATAAAGTTCTCGAAACAGCCGGAAGTTCCTGATCTAAATTCCATTGCATGCTTAGATCCCTAACGATGTGTCTTCGCAAAGTTCCTGCAGCGCTGGGAGACGAGCAAGGCACAAGTGTCTCCTAAAAAGCCGCCATCGAGTGCAGGAGTTTGAAGAGGAGAAGAGAAGGCGCTGCTTTCACCTGCTCCACTGGAGAGACTTGCTGGCAGCGCACCGGCAGCGCGTTCCCGCCCAGCCTTGCACCACCCGGCTTTGACCCTCAGCTCCCTCCCGTTGGTAAAAGCTTGGGTACTTCCCAACCCAGGCACCTCATCTCGCGTCCAAAATGGAATGTGTCCGAGCAGACAGGAGGGAAAGCTACCTTTTGCGTCGTTTATATTATGAATATCTTTGTATGATTTTAAACCAGCCTGCCAAACGCACGCACGTTTTGGAAGGTAACCCAGCCGGCGCGCGTCGACTCCCGGAGAAGAAAGCAGCCTCCGCCCCGCGCCGGGCGGGCGCCCCCTGCTGACCAGATGGGCCGCGAGCGCCGCGGCGCCTGCGTTCACTGGCGGCTCAAAGGATTCGGGCGTCGGGCGAGCGGCTGTGGCTGGAGAGGCCCAGCTGTCCCGCGCCAGGAGCCCCAGGACGCCCCGGAGCAGACCGTAGTAACCTCGTCCACCCTCACCCCAGGGGTCGAGGGACTTAGAGCAGCGCCCGGAAATAACGCATGCCACGTCCCTTTCCATCTCTGGTTCCAAATCCCTGCAGAAAGACGAGAGCCCTAGAGAAACGTGGAGAAGGCAGGGTGAGAGCGCAGCGAAGCAGAGAGCGCGCTGGGGACATTCTAGAGAAGAGCTCAGAAGGCGGCGGCTAGTTCCAGGGTGGCTGCGAGTGGATTGGGTTATAGCTGGGCGAATGAAAGCACCATGTTTTCCTAACACTGCTTTCAAGAACACCCTGCGTGGGGCAAGATCGCAGGTGCTATTCGGGAGTTATGACCGTACAAGCAGGTACTTCCCTGTAAAGTAAAAGCATTCTGTAAGTCGTTCGATAGAATGCAATATTAGGCGTGTGTATGCGCGAGTTTTAATTTTCCACTGGTGCTCCCCCGTGCAGGCACGTTTCTTAGTAAATGAACAGCAGCTGGAGCAGTGCATAGGTATGCATTTTCTCTCTCCCTCTCTTAAGTGGGAAAGAATAGTACACCTTCAACCTGACAACAGGATCTTGAGAAATGTTCTAGCAAGAAAAGTGGGAAACGAAGGATGACTTCTAGTTAAGGGAAGGAGGAAATTTGTAGGGAAACAGTGGGCCAACCCTTCCCTCACCCCCCCGCCCCCCCATTTCGGAAGCCCATGCTGTCCCCCTGAGTAATCATGTTTGTGTCTATTAATGAATTAAGTTAAAAGGCTTAGACGGTAGACTTTAGCTATTGCATGAGGCAAAACAGTAAGGAAGCTCCTCAAAAAGCCTCCACACATAGATAACCCCCTTAAAAATGAAATTCTAATAAACGGAAAAACTACGAGTCGACACAATCAAAAGCAAATCCCGGCAAGAGCAGAAGGTACTTGAAACTCGAATCTGCATTCCGTTCCTCCCGTACAAGGCTCGGAGGTGGGGGAGGCGGTTTGTGCTGGTGCCTGGTGTATAATCGGGTTAATCCAGTAGACAAAGAATAAACCAATAGCCCTCCCACCTCACTTCCCGCTCCCCTTCCCCTCCCCCTTCTGCTCCCCCGGCCTCAGCCCGGGTCACCCCCTCCGCAAAGGTGAACAGAAATGGGGAGAGGTAGACTTGAAATGGGTTCCGGATAAAGTCTTAGAACCTGCAACTTGTTTTCATGCTAACACTGCGTGGCCCTGATTAGTCTTGAATATTCATTCTCCTTTCCTGGTGGCAAGGAGAAAGTTCCCTAAGTTAGCTCAAGCCTCGGGCTCGTCCTCGGTGCCTCTGGGGAAACCTTAAGGTCAGTGTTTCCTTGAAACTAGATAAACTGACCCCGCCGTGCCCAGCCCAGCCCCGCGGGCGCCCCGCGTGACGGTGCCGGGGCTGCAGGACCGGCCTAGGGACACGCGGGGCGGCGCGGTTGCCCTTTTGAATGCCTCCTGCGGCTCGGAGCGCTGGCGGGCGCTGGAGTGTGAGTGAATGTAGCCCCGCGGAGCCAATGAGCTGGGACCGGATGCGATATATCCTCTGGGACAACAACTGCTCTGTTCCGCCTCGGATCCACATGACGCCATTTACTGCTGCCGCGGCCGCCGCAGAGCTCCCTGCCTCCTCCGGAAAGGCGAGGGCGCAGGCCATCGGCGAGCCCCCCCCGGCCGGGCCCCAGACCCTCCTCCTCCTCCTCCTCCTCTTCCTCCTCCTCCTTCTCCTCCGCACCCACCGCCCCCGCCTCGGCCTTGCTGCCTAGCCTTCACAACGCCCAGTCTGCACCACCGAGAGCTGCGCGCCGCAGCGCTAGCGGAGGAGAGGGGCCGGCGGAGCGCGCAGCGCCCAGGCCCCCGCGCCCGCCCGGCCCGGCCCGGCCCGGCCCGGCCCGGCCCGCGCCCCCGCGCCGCCTCTGCTACGACGCAGCCCCGGCCGCACCACTTGGCGATCTGGCTTTAGGTTCTCTGTGAGGCCGTTTTATTTTCCCATTCGCTCATCTGCTAGGAAAAAGGACTTGCCGTTGGCGCTTCGGCCTCTTGTTCATTGAGAAAAAAGAGGAAATACTCCGCGTGCGCTTCTAGAAGGGGGGTCGTCTCCAGCCCCGAACCCCGGAGTGTTCATCAGCAGGGAATTTGGCTCTGAATTTTCCTGTTTTTTCTTCTCCCGCCGATTGCTCTGAAGTTGGACTGAAGCAGAGATTGGAAAGAAAGGAAAAAAGTTTGCATCGAGACTGGATTTATTTGCACATTGCAGAAAGAAGAGAATCCAAGGGAGAGGGGTTGGTGCAAAGCCGCGATCACGGTGAGGCACGTTTGGCTCTTCCCCTCCTGGCGCTGTGGCCAGCGCGTTGTGGGCAACATGGAGTAGGTGCAGCCGGACCGGGAGTTGGGTCCGTCTCTCCCCGAGCCTCCCTTTCTCAAGTCCCGCAGGGTCTCCCTGAGGATCCGGGACACTCCCCGCGGACCTGTCTTGGGGCTCGGGCTCGGCCTGCCTCTGCGGGGACTTGTGTATGCACCGGGTGCAGGGTCCCCGGCGGGCGATCCCGCGCGCCCCCTCTCTAGGGGGTTGGGACGGAGGACCGCTCGCCTGAAGCCAGCTCCCAGCCGTGCACTGGCCTCGAATTCGGCGCTGAAAGCGGGAGGGAGAGAAAAGCACTTTGTGTTTCCCGGGTCGCCTTTGCAGGCGCCCGCATTTCTAACCTGTTCTTCTCAGCGGAAGGCAAAGTCCGGGGTGAGGCTGTCCCTAGGCGGGGCGCCGGTGGGACTGGGGGACGCAGGTTGCTCACCTCGGGGGCAGGAGACCCCGAGGGTGAGAAAAAGGCAGGCTGCCGGGTGGAGGGAGTCCCCGCCTCTGCTCAGTGTGGACGGTCTAGCCCGGAGCGGGTGGGAGCGTCGCCCTGCCTGGCGCCGGGTCTCTGCGGTTCGGAAGTGCAGCTCTCTCTCTTTTCCGTCCTTCGTGGTCAGCCAGGGTCACACTTATTTTATTTTTGGAAGCCTGGTCTGACCCAGCGCAGGAAGAAAGTCATCAAATGGTCGCGATCATTTCCATTACCTGAAAGTAGGTGGCAAAAGAGGCAGTTTTGTATTTCCTTTTGTTGTTGCTGTGTTTTAACTTGGAATCTTGTGTGTTTTTTACAAAGCAGTTTCTGTGTCCGTTTGCCCCACCCTAGAGCTGAAGTTCGTTCCCCCTAATCCTTAGTCTGATCACACACTGTTCTTAATGGGGGTTTCAAAGCACTTTCAAAGGGGAGGGGGGACTGGGAAAGAGAAGAGGGGCGGAGGTGGGGAGTGGAGCTTCGAAGGAGGAAGCCAGGGATCGGATGGGCAGAAATCACTTAAAAATAAAAATAGAAAAGCCTCTTTTTCTCCCGAAGATGCTACTTTGACTGCAAGCAAATCTGCACCGAAAGTTACAGCTCGAGGAGCTGGATCCTGCGCGCCCGGAGTGAGCAGTGGGGCCCTGGAAAATGCCCTTTTTTAAAAAAGCAATTTTTCTTTCACTTTAAGAAATATGATATCTTTTTTTCTCTCTCTCTCGACCCGAAGGGAGATAGGCGTGTGCAGATCACAGGCAATGCCCACCTCGGTCAGTGCAGCGTGGAGTCGCTGTGTGTGCGTGGGTTGGACTTGCGCGTCCCGGCTTCGTGTCTCAACTCTGGCAGGGCTTTGGAGCTTGCGGTGTCGGGGTGGGAAACCTGTGCCGGATGTCCGAGGGGCTTTGCAGAAAGCCTGGCAATGGGCGGCGTGACCTCTGCCTGGGGGCGGAGTGGCTCCTTGGGGCTGGAAAGCAGTTCTCTTGAGGTGGGGGAGATCTTAGCTGGGGAGAAGGAGGCGGGGGAAGTGTGCTCCTGCATTTCGTGACACGTTCCCTTCGGAGGCGCCCGCGGCCCCCGCCTGTCTTTGAGTCTGGGGATCGTAAGCGGGGGGGCGGGGGGCACCCTGGCCCTTGGACAGCGTCAGTCCGCCTGGAGAAACGTCCCCTGGGGATCGACTGTGTCCCACCTGCTGGGGACGGTGTTGGGGCGCAGAGAGGCGTGAAACTAAGTGAAAGCAAAGGGCAGCGTTGTCTTCTGCCATTCTTTGAAGGTGAGGAGATCCGGTTTCCAGCTCTGGCTTGTTCCGAATTGGGAGACGTTTGTCACCTGCCTTATTGGCTGTGGCCTGTATTCTAAAGAGCGGAGATTGGATAAAGGTCCACTTTTGCATGTTTTATACTATTTATTGTCATATAGGCTTGAGAAAGGGGGTGATCCTTTTGAAATTTAAGAGGGACTGCAATTTAAGGAATTCCTTGACAAGGCTGGGTGTGAAGTGTGACATTTGAATTTTTAAAACACTTTTCTGGTTATTATCACTTCGTTTGTGTTCTCAGTTAATTTTTTGAAAAGAGAAAATTAGTTGAGCTTTTGACATGCTTTATTTCTAAAACAGGGAGAACAACCTTTTAGCTGCAGAATCCTAGGTGGTGTTCTAGGCTAACAGACTATAAAATACTTAATTCTCAAATGGTTAAGAAGTTGAAAATAAATTCTCGTCTTCTTGTTTATTGTGTAAGTTTGCTTTAATGTGTTTCTGGCACCCAATAGGATTTAATTTGCTTTTAGTTCTCTAACTTTGTGCTACAGTACAATTAATAAAAAATGGCATGATTATTGTAAAATTGGTAACTGTTCTTGGTGGGCATTTTACTTTTCTGTATGCCATATCCATTCTACTGGGTTTGAAAAAGTTACAGAATACCGGATAAGTCATAAAGTGTTTGCTGTAAAAGCAAAAGCTAACAACCAAGAATCTTCTAGGCTGCATTATTAATGCTTAAGGCAAAAAGACCATGAGAAATGGAAACCTATTTCACATTTTGAAAGGATTTTCAACTTCTGAAAACGTTGGTAACAGTGTTATATTCCAGCAATACTTTCTTGCGATTTTTACATTGAACCTGAACCTTGCAAACTGTATGTTTATTTGAATATGGAATTCTTACTTAAGTGACTCAAACAAAGATCAGCTTTGTGTTGTTGTACATCACGGGATTACAGAATTGTCAGTAGCCAGCCATAATTTTTACTTTTGGGTACATGCGTCGTTGATCATATGGCTAATACCTCCCCACTGTCATTCCATTTCAAATCCTGTTTCTCTAGGGAGAGTGGGAAGTGAGGAGTGAATTCAGGTGGGCGGAGAGTGGAAAGTATCTTAGAGTATAAACCGTTCTTTCTTCTTGGCTTCCTCAGGAGTTCAGATGTGTTCTAAGCCTGCTGGAGTGACCACACTTCCAAGACCTGATGGAGGCCAGAGCTCAGAGTGGGAACGGGTCGCAGCCCTTGCTGCAGACGCCCCGTGACAGTGGCAGACAGCGTGGGGAGCCCGACCCTAGAGACGCCCTCACCCAGCAGGTACATGTCTTGTCTCTGGATCAGATCAGAGCCATCCGAAACACCAATGAGTACACAGAGGGGCCTACTGTCGTCCCAAGACCTGGGCTCAAGCCTGCTCCGCGCCCCTCCACTCAGCACAAACACGAGAGACTCCACGGTCTGCCCGAGCACCGCCAGCCTCCTAGGCTCCAGCACTCGCAGGTTCATTCTTCTGCACGAACCCCTCTGTCCAGATCCATAAGCACGGTCAGCTCAGGGTCGCGGAGCAGTACGAGGACAAGTACCAGTAGCAGCTCCTCTGAACAGAGACTGCTAGGATCATCCTTCTCCTCCGGGCCTGTGGCTGATGGGATCATCCGGGTGCAACCCAAATCTGAGCTCAAGCCAAGTGAGCTTAAGCCACTAAGCAAGGAAGATTTGGGCCTGCACGCCTACAGGTGTGAGGACTGTGGCAAGTGCAAATGTAAGGAGTGCACCTACCCAAGGCCTCTGCCATCAGACTGGATCTGTGACAAGCAGTGCCTTTGCTCGGCCCAGAACGTGATTGACTATGGGACTTGTGTATGCTGTGTGAAAGGTCTCTTCTATCACTGTTCTAATGATGATGAGGACAACTGTGCTGACAACCCGTGTTCTTGCAGCCAGTCTCACTGTTGTACACGATGGTCGGCTATGGGTGTTATGTCCCTCTTTTTGCCTTGTTTATGGTGTTACCTTCCAGCCAAGGGTTGCCTTAAATTGTGCCAGGGGTGTTATGACCGTATTAACAGGCCTGGATGCCGTTGTAAAAACTCAAACACAGTTTGCTGCAAAGTTCCCACTGTCCCCCCCAGGAACTTTGAAAAACCAACATAGCATCATTAATCAGGAATATTACAGTAATGAGGATTTTTTTTTTTTTCTTTTTTTTAACACACATATGCAACCAACTAAACAGTTATAATCTTGGCACTGTTCATAGAGAGTTGGGATAGTCTTTGCTGTTTGCGGTGAAATGCTTTTTGTCCATGTGCCATTTTAACTGATAGGCTTGTTAGAACTCAGCTAATGGAGCTCAAAGTATGAGATACAGAACTTGGTGACCCATGTATTGCATAAGCTGAAGCAACACACACACTCCTAGGCAAAGTTTTTGTTTGTGAATAGTACTTGCAAAACTTGTAAATTAGCAGATGACTTTTTTCCATTGTTTTCTCCAGAGAGAATGTGCTATATTTTTGTATATACAATAATATTTGCAACTGTGAAAAACAAGTTGTGCCATACTACATGGCACAGTCACAAAATATTATACTAATATGTTGTACATTCGGAAGAATGTGAATCAATCAGTATGTTTTTAGATTGTATTTTGCCTTACAGAAAGCCTTTATTGTAAGACTCTGATTTCCCTTTGGACTTCATGTATATTGTACAGTTACAGTAAAATTCAACCTTTATTTTCTAATTTTTTCAACATATTGTTTAGTGTAAAGACTATTTATTTGAAGTTTTATTATTTTATAAAAAAGAATATTTATTTTAAGAGGCATCTTACAAATTTTGCCCCTTTTATGAGGATGTGATAGTTGCTGCAAATGAGGGGTTACAGATGCATATGTTCAACATAAAATAGAAAATATATTAACGTTTGAAATTAAACTGAGCTGTTTTGTCTTCTTTTATCTTTTGTTTCTTTCAAGTGCAAGAAACTGCATTTTATGTTAAGGGTAACATTTTAGTGAAATAGTTCATCACTTTTCTGTAGAATTATTTTATGATTGCTACTTTAAGCTGGATTTGATGATTTTTCAGAGACAATTCCAGCAATCGAGAGCTAACAACATTTGACTTACCTATCTGTACTCAACATAGGAGAGCTTATTATAGCTATATCATTGTTCTTGTTCTCCCCACCCCAATTTTTTTTTTTTTTTTTTTTTTTTTTTTTTTTTTTTTTCTTTTTTTTTTTTTTGTTTTTTTTGTCAAGGCTTTGTTTTTAAAAAAATTTTTTGAACTGATTTATAAGGGAGACTTTCCTTAAAAATTAACAGTATACTTTTTCTTCATATATAGTATCAAGGATTAATTCCATGAGGATAATTTTATAACTAGTAAAATGAGTTTAGCTCAACAAATATCTATTGAATGTCACCTGTGTCTCAGGCATGCAGTATTCACAGGTGAGTTCTTACAATTAAGGCAAAACATATTTTCTTAAGTTAGCTGATCGTGGCAGTGTTTGTTCCAATCTATACTCTGAAATATTACCATTTTATCAAATTCCTTATGTTAGAAAAGACAAAAAATAGAAAATTTGCTTTGATTCAGGTATTCAGTATCATAAAATTTGGTCCAATATTGGTCTTACTCAAGACCAAAAAGGCCAATTTGAGACCCTGACTTATTTAATCAAATTATCCAGAAAATTGTTAAATTTTGCTCTGGGGAAAAGATGCAGTATGTCAAAGTCAGTGTGCTTGGAGTTGTCTTTTAGAAGCAAAGGTGCAGCAAGGTGCTGCAAGCCCATCTTGACAAATATTAGGTTTTAAGTCACTTGATTAGTCACTTTGTGGCTGACGATTTTTTTTCCAAAAGTGCAAACTTTTGCTGCCAAGAGTCACTGGAAGTCTAGAAAATAATTTACCTGTCATTATTGTTTAATCTCTTGTTTCCTGTTCTGAGGCTCCTGCCTATTAGGTTAAGCCTTAGTACAGGTTGTCTTCTGTTTTGTTTTATAAAATTGTCTTTCAAGGAACTACATAGCCTCCTACACTAACACATTGTTCTAAGGACCTTCAGTTTCCTCTGACTTCCTCCAAAAAACATAGGATTAAGTTAATTTAGAAATTATTTACTCTTAAGCTTCAACTTTGAGATACCAAATGTTTCGATTCTAACACTCTTAAAACTTGACTCTGGTGGTCTAAAAAGGAATTTGGTTGCTGGAAAATCGGGTAGGGTTTCTTATTCATATAAAGCACAAAAATTTTGACTAATTAGCTTTATGCATCAAAAACTGCCACATGCATTGACAGAGCTCTTTTTGGTACAGAAATTGTGAGTTAAATATTTTTTTTCACCGTGTAAGTGACTTTCAACGTATTCTTCGGCAAATTGCATCAGATGCCATTGGGTGTTTATTGAAAATGTAAGAACCTCTCCCCATAGTTACTGAGTCAGAATCTGATGGTGTGGCCTAGGAATTAACATTTTTAATCATTCTACAAGTGATTATGTGCAATATGGCAACTACTGACCTAGGAATTGCTTTCTAAATCAGTTTTTAATGGATTCTGATCTAAAGTGTAACTCATTGGTTTGAATATAGAGCATAAAGTGATAGTCAACTGAAATTGGAAGAGGATTTGAAGTAAGTGTATTAAGTCCTGATGAAAATAATTTGTTTAAAGATAAATAAGAAAATTAGAGGCCAGGATGGTGGCTCACGCCTGTAATTCCAGCACTTTGTGAGGCTGAGGCAAGTGGATCACTTGAGATCAGCAGTTTGAGACCAGCCTGGCCAACATGGTGGAACCCCATCTCTACTAAAAATACAAAAATAAGTGGATGTAGTGGCAGGCACATCTAATTCCAGCTACTTGAGAGGCTAAGGCAGGAGAATCGCTTGAACCTGGGAGGTGGAAGTTGAAGTGAGCCAAGATCATGCTACTGCACTCCAGCCTGGGCCTGGGTGACAGACAAGACTGTCTCAAAAAAAAAAAAAAAAAAAGAAAGAAAAAAAAGAGAATATTGGACTTCTCAAGAAGCTTCTAACTAACCTGTTAAATGTTGACTTTATCCATATACCAACATAGAATTAATTTTCAAAATATGGAATTTGAAAATTTATATAATTTTTAGAATATTTCAAAATATGTATATCTGAACAGATTAAAAACAACTGGTACTCAGGGCATTAAAAATAATAAAAATAATTAATTTTATTTATTTTTTATGTTATTTTAAGATGGAGTTAGACTGTGTTGCCCAGACTAGAGTGCAATGGTGGGATCTGGGCTCACTGCAACTTCCGCCTCCCAAGTTGAAGCCATTCTGCCTCAGCCTCCGGAGTAGCTGGACTACAGGGGCATGCCACCATGCCCAGCTAATTTTTGTACGTTGAGTAGAGATTGGGTTTCACCATGTTGACCAGACTGGTCTCAAATTCCTGACCTCATGTGATCCACCATGCTTGGCCAAAAATACTGTTTTTAATGTTGCAAGTTATCACACTTGGGAAAAAATATGGAGGAATAATCTCAATTTCTTAATCTCTGTTTAAAGTTAATAAAAAATTATAACATGATAAATTTCTAATCCAATGGCCATTATTTTGATGTGATAGAGTAAAAGTATGATAATGCAAACATAACTGCTAAGCATTTAGGGGAATTTTAATACATTTTTGTGGTTTCTTGCTTTTTAATTTCTTTTAAACCTGTGGATGCTCTATATTTGAGATCCATTTAAGAATGACAACTTGATTGTTGTTACGTAAAACATTCATTTATGTGTTTTGAGGAGGAGATTTTAAGGCCCTGCCAAATTTCTGCCATGTTGTAGCTTGCTCTGGGGATTGTCTATGAAAGAAGAAAGCCAAAACCCAGGGAAGTATTCCCAACCAAACTTTTTGCATAACTTCTTTCTTCCGTACACTTCTGTCTCAAGGACTACTTGACTCCAGAATATATAAGTTAAGGTACTGATGATGTCAGATAAATGAATTTGCTCTTGCACAGTGCTGTAAGATATTTGATAGGCAGTTGATGGGTTTGATGTAATTTATTAACTTTTAAGCATTTAGGTCAAAATTTTCAAAGGTTTAATGGTTTTAGAGTTTCACTTGAAGTCATACCCACAATTGGCCATTTGTCTTCCTCTCCTAAATGTACACAAGGACCAGGGTATAAACACAGAAGTTTCAGCTTTGAAAATGGCCTGAATTGTACAGATCAAAAACAAGACTTTCAACTTGTGGAGAATATTTTACACTATTTTCATAAAGAAAACATATAATAGTAGGTTACTAATTAGTCACGTCATTGTATCAATATCCAGTCTCTGGTTTAAAATATCCATTAAGGTAAAAGTCATGTTAATTTCTATTTTAATGTGGTCTAATGCCTTACTTCTTTATGACATACTAAGGGTGGGTCTCCACTAAGTGAAAACAAGATTAGAATTTTAACAAGGCCCGTCTGATTTGACCTAAAACAGATCATCAGAGTAAAGCTATACACCTGGAGTATTTCATCACAGGTTTGGCCATTCACAAGAGGATAAGAGTCAGACTGTGTATGTCTCATACTGTAGATTTTATTTGGATGCCACACTGCCACTCCCTTTTCACCACAAGAGACAACCACGTGAATAATGAGAGGCAAAATGTGAATACAACTGATGATACTGCACCTCTGGTCAAAATTAGACTTAACACATTCATTTAATTTATAATCAAAGAAGAACAAAGAGATATATAGCAAAAGGGGAAGAAATTAACATTTAAACTTTTTCCATGCCTAGCAAATGTTTCATATTTTTATTTAATACTCCATTTTGATTGACTTAAAGAATTTTTAAAAGCCAATCTTATTTGGCAACTTATACTTTTTTTTTTTTTAAATAAACTATTAAAGGCGATTAGGAAGAAGCCTTGGCCTCTGGCTTGGCTAGAGGGGGCATGTAAGGCTTTGGCATAACTTATGAATTTATTTCTCAAAACAGCTGCTAATACACAAAGAATAATAAATAATTTGACTTAATAGAAGGACTCACTTGGAAGAGAATTTTGGCACCAAAATATTTATACTTTGGATTTCACCTTAAATAGTTTTTGGATGCCTACTGCTTACAAATTACAAGGCTAGTTGATCTAATGCAAAAGCAAAGAGGTAGCAACTCCAATGCAAGACAGGACTTATAACAGAAACATAAGCAAGATACTATGAGAGTACAGAAATTGAGGGAAAAACAATGCATTCCCATTAACTGGTTTGATCACCATGCCTTTGCAATGGTTTCAGATACTTAAAACACCTAAAGAGTTTTTGCTAAGACAGTTGAAACAGAGTTATCATCACTCATTAAATAAAACTATGTTTACCATGCTTATATTCATATCCTAAAACAAATTGTAGAAGTGTTTTTTTATATTTATTATTATTCTTTTATGATTTAGTCTCCGTAGACTGCCAAAAATTGCCAACACCGACTGTATTTCAAGTCGTCATGGCGGGATATTGGGAAAAGTTTTCAATTAGCAATAATCATGCCTAGGCTAAACCTCATTGGCTACAATACTGTCACTGCGCAAAGCTAGAAGTGTTTAATGAATATAAACAACTATATATTTGTATGTTTATTCCTTTTTTTTTTTTTTGAGATGTAATTTCACTCTTGTTGCCCAGGCTCGAGTGCAATAGTGTGA